TTTCAGGTCTATTTGATAGACCATTATCATTTTAAAGGGTCGGGGAATAGGAGAGTTTGGAACAAGAGTGTCAAACGAGGATGTCGCCTATTTGACTTACTACTGTACGAATAGCCCCGATGAAGTCCTGAAACCTAGGCTGAAATATCGGCACAAAATAAAATATTTTACTTTTATTTTTATTTAATTCTCACCATGACTACGAACCCCAAACTAACATTCCAGCCAAATTACGTATTATAAACTATTTCTCCACAATAATTAATAAATATAATCTAAAGAGGTTCGTAAACGATCTAACAATTGATAAATCTGACCAGTTTTCTACCTTGTTGGATCGACACAAAATTTGATAACGGTATATTCGAACCTTTGAAGTTTTGCACGATATGGTAGTCAAACAATTATCAGTCTGCTATGAGATATTCTCATGAATGCGTTGCAATCATGTAATCTATATTTTATCTTTTTATGTTTATTTTTATAACTTTGAAGCTTTAATTTAATATTACAGAGGTTGAGTCAGGATCAAATTGTAGTGATAATAGTGAAAAGGAATTTTCATTATTTATTACATTATGCTATCAATTACCACCGTAGCGAAAACGAAATTCCGATGATTCTATAGACAACAGAAGAAGGAATATATCCAGTAGAATAAACGTGGATATATTTATGATCCGGATTTATGATGAAATTTTGACTTGTATTTATTTAAATTCTTGAAAAAAAATCAGATAAATGAAAAATATACAACGATTGGGCTTAGAATATAGTTATAATTTGTCTTAAATAAATTAAACATGATTATAATGTGTCGTTTATTTGAGAAGCAATGAATAAAAGTAATTTTTTAGATCGTCTGTTTAGCGAAATCTACAAAACTTTCTAAATAAACGTTTTTTAAAAATAAAAGTTCTGTAAAATCATTACTTGAAAAGTTCTTCTTCTTAAAGAAAGAAAAGAATATCGACAGTAAAAATTTCGGTGATACCGAAACTTTTTTAAAAATAAAAGCTTTTATTCCGTTTCAAGCTCTGTCATAAACACACGTGGTGAACAGATAGGTTAAATTAATAGATATTATTAAATAAATCATTCGAAAAGGTAAATAATTACAAGAATAATGATAACACGCAGCTTTTAAGATGTATATTTTAGCATTTGTTAAGAATAAGTATAAGGATTTTTATTTTTTTAACGCCTCAGATCTCCTTATCAATTCCCAAATCCTTTAATCTAGTATAATTATACACTAGCTCTGATTTATTGTCCACATCTTAATATTATATAATAGAATTTCGTTTATACAAATGTATTTCTTAAAGACACTAAATACCTAACATGAACCGATAACTTTATATCACGATTTGAAATTAATAATTATTTTTTCCACAAAATCATGTAATAATTATTATATTTGATATTTAATTTGAAAATCATGCCCGATTTTTAAATCAAAATTTTAAATCGATCTTTGATGTTTATTCATTCGATTAAAAATAATGATCACTCACAGAGTGACGCGGTTTTACATAAATAACAATGTAAAATTTTGATCAAAATATAAAAAGCACCCTATAAACACAAATCAAATAAATTATGAATATGTATCTATACGTAATTTAAGTAAACATTTTTTAATAATAAATTTCTGAAATCGCTATATATATGTTGTTTTTTTTGCAAGTTATAATTTCTAATCAATTTCGAAAATAAAGATGTTCTGCTGCTAATAGTTGACAACAATATTTTCCACCTACTACATTAGACTCAAAATATGTCATAGAGATTACAAAAAAATATATATTTGTGATTTAAAAAAGTATTTTAATGTCTCTAAAGAACGAATATGAAGTTGTAGAACCTGTGGATAAATTTACAAACAGCATTCAACATGCTATATTGTATTTTTCTGTATCAAGATCCAACAGAAATGAGTGGCTTCCAACTTATCCTCAGTATATAAGATATTTGATCAGGGCTAGGAGAAGAGCTCGCTAAGTATGGCAAACCGTCGACTGCCGTTTGACAAACGGACATTCAATAGAATTAACAATGAACTAAAACGATATGTTCAAAGTTTTAAAACTACAATTTACGACAACTACATCAGAAATCTCTCTACTGACGATGGGAGCTTATGGAGGCACACAAAAAACTTGTAAATCGCCGTAAAGTTTTATCACCTCTCCAAAACGAAGATGGTTCCTGGGCCGTGTCAGAAATAGAACAACCTGAGATATTTTTTATCCATATTTCTTCTGTTTTTACTCCACATACTGACTTCACCAACATTCAACACGACAAACAAGTACTAAACAGTTTAGATATTCTACTACAATTGGAATCACCTCCACTTTGTTTCACTCCGAATCTTGTTGCAGAAAAATCAGATAATTACCTAAAAAGAAAGCCTCTGACCATGACATCATAACTGCTTAAGTACTCCAGAAAATGCCTACAAACGCTCTAGTTTACTTAAAGTCTATTTACAATGCAAATACTCATATTATTGTAATTCAAAAAATTATTTTCTATTCTATTCTATTCTATTACAATGATTTATAAATCCAACAAAGACAAATAAACTCCTTCATCATATAGGATAAATAGCCTTCTCCTAATATATTCTAAGATCTTTGGAAGACTTCTCTACAAAAGACTTATGCAAACACTGACGGATGGCAAAATAAAACCCGACCATCAATTTGGATTCCAACAACATTTAACCATCCATTAACACAGGGAGAATGACTACATTGCAACGGCACTACAGCAAAAATTGTATGCAGCTGGAGTATTTCTGGATGTCACTCAAGCATTCGATAGAGTCTGGCATAAGGGACTTCTCTTCAAAATTAAGACGATAATACCTTCTATCTACAATCTCATCCTTCAATCCTTTCTTTCTGACAGATTTTTCTCTGTCTGCCAAGGCTAAGAATTTTCTTCAATAAGACCAGCCTTAGCAGGAGTTCCTCAGGGGTCAGTACTCGCTCCAATTTTATACATCATATACCCACATTACATTCCCAACAGCGCCGGAACTATTATAGTGACTTACACCGACGATACATCAATTCTAACAAGACTTACAAATTCTACACACGTCTCACAGACTTTACATGATCTAAAAAAACTAAACTATTGGTGCTAACTTTGGAAAGTACGACTCAACCAAGACAAATCACAACATATCACTTTCACTCTTCGACATGAAACATGCCCTCTTATTTACCTTGAAAATGCTGAAATTCCTCAAACAGATAAAATACAGTAATGACAATAAATCTTAGACTGACTTTCGACGTAATAATAACAAGGGACCGACAAAAAAAAAAAAAAAAAATTAAAACGTTAAATTTCAAACTACGACTGTTGTACTCACTTCTCTCAAGACGCTCGAAATTAAACCTAAAACAAAAACTGCACATTTACATTTATCTACTTAAGTCCACCTACGCTTCACATATTTACGGTACAACCAAAACGTCGCACGAAAACTACAAAACTACAAACTTTTCATTCAAAAACATTCAGGTCATAACTAAAGCTCCATGGCACGTAACAAACATTACTTTACATAAAGACCTTAAAATGCCTACAGTTAACGACCATATACAGACACACTAAAAAAGATTTCACCATAACTTCCATGTAAATACTTACTCTCTTATACTATACTAGCTCACTTATACAAAAAATGGCCACATTTAACATACCCGAAAACACACTCAAGAGGCTCAAAAGAAGCTGGATGAGGGATTTTCTCGCTTAAAAATATGCTGAATTCAAGACAGGAAGGGATGCCACTGGGCACTCCTCTTCCTCCCGCTGATCAAGCCATTACCTCTACGCTAACCGGCAGCAGACGCTAACCGGCTAATTGTCATTGCTTATGACAGGTGTGGGTGAAGATATAAAGTTAAAAAAAAATATGATCAGGATATGATTTTTATCATTTATGATCAAATATGAAAAAAATTCTTAATAAAAATCATGAACTGATTTTTTAAAATTCGAGATAAATATTTTAATGAGATTTTATTTTTTTAACTATCGATTTCAAATCCAGCTTTATATTACTGGATTCTCGTTTTTCATTACCTGTCGAGAATTTTTGTTTATTACAATTGCTATTTACAACTCTAATAGATAGAATAATATAAATGAGTGGTACAAGACCAATGGTTCCTTAGATTTGTCTTATATATATATAATATTTTTAAAAATATATCTATTTAAATTTATAATTGTAATAACTAAAACTACAAAAGTAAATTTTATAGTTAATATGGTATGTAAATCTTGAAAGGAAACTACCCATTTGTAGCTCTTCGATTACAGTTTTACATCAGGAGGTCCCGAGGCCATCTTCTTTTCCGAACCCTAGGGAGATTGTCAGGAAAGAAAGAGGATATAAAACTAACAATCAGTGGGTTTGGATGGGCCTGAAGTTTAAAGTCACATAAAGAACATAAATGTCATTATGGATAAATTTAATTTGTGACAAAGTACAGAACTTTGAGGAATTTGGGAAGGATTTTGGTTTGTAAGATGATACGAAAGGAATATGTATGTATATATATACACAGAGGTGGACTGGATTGAATTAGTTTATACATATACTAAATGTACGGAAACATTTGATACTACAACAGTTGCCAGATGCTGATAAAATTAGTATGGAACTTTAATTTTTAGCTGGTTCAGTTGTAATGGAATAAAATCAGTACTGTGACATAATTAGAATTTTCTTTTTACCTACTACAGAAATCAATATATGAAACTGTTATAGCAATTTTAAAATAATAATAATTTCTGTATTATGAATATACACGAATCTGGGCATTTAAATTCACGTGAAATAGGTTGTAATTCAATTAAAATTGTTTATGGCATTGATAGGACTACCAATGTAATAATATACAATAAATTACTGATAAAGTATTGATCATAAATTATTGATTGATACAAATGCAGAGATCTGTGAACCAGTTGATATGCGGCTGTACCGTCCTTGGTTGGGACTATATAAGCTCTAGGCTACCAACATTCAGCAGAAATATTTCAAGATGAACACACTCCTGTTCCTTACCACACTTCTCTCAGCTGTCTGCCTTTCATGGGCGGTGAGTTGTCCGGATATTTAATTTTTATTTTATAATATTTATATTTTATTGTATATACATTTCATATTTTTACTATTTATTTATTTACTATATGTTCAAGGATTAATTTTCCCTAGTGATTTATTTAAATAAGAATAAATTTAATTAAAACTAAATGCATAATTTTAAAACTTTAAAAAATATGATCTAAATATGTCCTGAAAATTAATCAACTAATTATTAGAATTATACACAATTTATTTTTATAGGTTGATTTTTATTTTTCAAATATTTTTCTTCATTAGCTAATTAACATGTACTATTTTTATGCTTCTGAAAATATTCCTAAGTTAATTGAAGATGAAATAAAAGAAGAAAACTTCACTTCCTTAGTAAACTGTGATATTAAACTATTTGTTTTATTTTTAGGATTTCTCCAAATATGTATTTGCTAAAAAAATAATATTATACATAAAATAAAATATCTTTTTGGTTATTTGACAAATGTTTATGGTATATTTTAAAAGGCTAAATAGGTTTCAAAAATTAGTTTTATGTAGAGCAAAACTAAAAGTTTATTAATTTCTCGCAATTAATTTTTACTTCTGATACATTAAATTTCGATTTAATACTTATAACCTTATAAAGGGTATAACCTCCTTCTCACAAAAACACTAGTTAGACGGACGACGAAAAGGAAAGAAGAAAACAAATCAGCTAATAAACATTTCTCTACCATTTTAGCGTTAACTATTGTTGATCTATCATAAAATCATTCGGTCAGCTCAACAGGTCCACATATTTCGAGTTAATAAAGTTATATCTATTGTTAAAAGCCTTTGTTGCAAATGTCGTATTTCTGCATTAAAACAAGCTCTAAAGGTTTAGACCCATTAATAATTCTTCAATTGTCTTTAATATTCAAATCATAAAATAATATTATGCCAACAAATAATCTTAATAAACCTGTCGTTAACAACTGCTGTATTATTATCAATATTGTTGTTATTATTGTCTTGAACTATTCAAGCACAATACTACAAATGTACACAATACATATTAGTGAGGACACAAATTATAAAGAATTAAACAATACACAGCTATAATCATTGTCAATGATTTATCTTGACTTGGACCGTCACTCAAAAATAATCACTCAAGTTTGATCATTTTTTTTTATTGTGCACTGAAAAAAAACAAACAAAAAAAAACAATTGTAATTGTATTTATTATTTAAATTTACATTTTCTTTCTATTGAAAAAAAAAAAACCATAATATATATATATATACTCTCACATCAATATGTTTCATGAAATTTCGATCTGGCTGGCGCTTTCATGAAATGAACCTTAACGATTAAACTCTGTAATAAATTATTTAATAAAATAAAATTATCCGTAAGGAAAATAAATTAAAAAAATGAAGAATGCATCATTTTTAAACTTTTAAACGAAACCTAAAGACTGAGGATATGATATTAAACATTTAAACAACTTGGAGGAAAACAAATTTAAAAACATGTGGCATTTCATCTTTTTTTTTTTTATCTTAACATAGAAAACCCTATTTTGTGTATGTATAATGGGTGTTTTTTAATAAATGAATTTTATTAATTATTGAAGGAAGTCTCATTTTTTTTAAAAAAATTAATTTTTATTTATGCCAACGACTCAACCCAAACATGTGGGTCATCTTCAGGGCTGAAAATTTGTTAACATACAATCAGAGATATAATATTATACTACCGATAACGGTAAATAATAAACTATTGTGATTGATAATATTTGTATTTGTATTTTAAAAAAATTTCAGCCCTGATGATGACCCACATTTTTGGATTGAAACGTTGGCATAAATAAAAAATTAAAATTTTAATTAATTAAAAACTCAGTGAAATAACGATATAAAAAAAAAACATTTTGTGTTTATTTACAGGCAAGCGATGAGTACAAAATGAAAGTTATAACTGCTGTGACATCATGTGCAAAGGACCATGGAGCAAACATCAGTGAGTATAACGTTTTATATTTTATTGTTTACCTGAAAAAACATATATATATATATATATATATATATATATATATATATATATATATATATGTATTTATTTATTTATTTTTACCTATCTAATATAATCTTTATATTATAATATATGCCGTTTATACTTGCAGTGGACGTGATCGAAGTCGTCAAAGCAGATAAGCTACCAACGAACAAAGCACAAAAGGTAAATTAATTAATATGTATTGCAATATTCAATAATGTCATAAACCTATATTCGGATTTAATTTCATAATCCTTTCAAAAATTTTTAAAACTTAACTTTGGATGTTTGTTGGTGAAGTTTAGCATAATACCGTCATTGTAAGGAGAAATTTATTCTCTTTTTTGGCTTTCCGAAAATAAAACTTCAGTCATTTATTTTATTTCTATCATTAAATTATTTGCCAACAGTTTTAATTATAGACCGACAGCTAAGAAAACTTCCAATTTTATCCATGTTAAAATATATTTTTTATCCTATGAAATAATATTTAATAGTAATACAATTAAAATAATGTCGATTAAATTAGTAAAATATTGTAGGTAATTAATATATTTATTAATAGTAATTGTTCCAGTAGCTTGAAAACATCGGATTTTTCTGCCTTTTAACAACTATGCTATGGGTGTTAGAAACACATTATAAAACACCTAATAATTTTTTTTTAACATTATAAGATTAGAATATGTTAATCCTTATTTTCTTTTCAACAGTATTGATTATAATATAATAATAATGAATTTATGTAATTTTTCAGTGTGTTGCCGGTTGCTTCTTCAACAAGATGGGCTATGTAAGTATATCTTGATTTTCATTAATTATTCTCTTGGAACATTGGAACAATGGAAAATTGTGATTTTTATCCTTTAGATTTATTTATTTTTTAACTTGAATTTTATTGGTATTTAATTGGTAATCTTTTATCCAGGTAACTGACCATAAGGTAGACTGGGCAAAGGTAAAGGCGCTCAACCCCAAAAAGTACGAAAGCAAGGACTTGATTGCCAAGGCTGATAAAGTTGCTGATGCATGCGCTAAAGGTACGCATAAGGGAACATATGAATTTTCGGTCTAATTATTTATTTATAATTTGGAAATCTCACTATTAAGTAATACTCATTAATATACTCACAACTGAATAAAATTAAATTTATATGTCTAAGATAGTTGTCAAAAGTTTGTAAGTCACTACCACAAATTAATAGCTAAATTCTTGGAAATAGCTAAATTTGTAACCTTATTCTACCGTATCTTAACTGTGAATTATTATCAAATGAAAATTTTAATTATGCGATTAAAATAACTTCGATTGTAAAATAGAAAAGTGATTTATTTTTACTTGCAATTAGGTTTTTTACAGCCCAAAATATTTTGTTTATTATATTGTTCATACACATCATATAACATCATACCCATAGTGTCTTCATTCATAATAATATACTGATGCAGTTGTAAATATAGAATCACTTATAATTGGTTGCTACAATTAGTGCTGCCCTAAATCGGTCTTACCAAGAATGATAAAAAATTAAAAAAAAATAAAAATTAAGGCAAATTATTTAATAATATTTGACAATTTTAAATAATATATGTAAAGAATTGGTAGAGTTCCAATTTTTCATTCTGGGCTTAATTAAATTTCTCCAATTTGAAAAATTACAGTAATATCTCTATAGAAATAAACTAATAGGTAAATGTAAGACTGTGGCGAGGCTCTTGCGCAAGAACAAGACCAATACTGAGTGCGCAAGATCAAGACTCGCATTTGGGCAGTACTATATAAACTAAATATTTTTTTTCTAATTACTTATTTCTAAATTTAACAATCACAAATTAAAAAAAAAAATGTCAATCATGTTTTCTTTACTGTTGCAGTTGTAACACAGAAAATTACTGATGTCTGCGAACTTGGCATTCCTCCCATGAAATGTCTGATTGAGGAATCGAAAAAGGTATGATTTAGATAAATTTGTTTTATATTCTATAATAGTTCTTAAATTTTTATTGAATTGTTATTTTTAATCTGTGAATGTCAAATAAAAAAAACTCAACACAAAGGTCGATTAAAAAAAATAAGACAATAAATTTATGATAGATGAAATTAAGTGAATTGCTGGAACTGAAGTAAACTTAAATTTAGTTAATGGACACAGTTTAGAGATGGGTCCGCTCCCATTGATGAGCTCAGCGCTGAATTTAGTAACTTTATCCTGATTGTGGGATAGTTTGTTATGCGGAATGGTCTATCCGGTGCCTACACCGGATTCTATAGTAATTTTGTTTTTAATTAAAATCGGCAATGATTGCGATTTTATATGAGAACAGTTCATTTTCAGAAATTAATTTTTGAAATTCCCATAATTTATAACAAACTTTATAAAATAAATTTTTGACTGATAGGAAAGAAAATATTAAACGACACTACCGAAAGAAATAGATTAGATTTTTTCTTAAAATTTGTAGTAATAACCCATTGATACTGATAAATTAATTGACGAAATTTCATTATTACATTTTTTATATTAAACATGGATAATAAATTACAGCAAGTATTCATAGCAATAAACCGTTAATATTTTAAATATATATATATATATATATATATATATATATATATATATATATATATATATCTGTATTCTATATTCGATTAAATCATACTAACAGCAACAAAAAACAAAAAAAAACGTTATTAATTTTATTAGTGCTTAATGTTCAAAGAATAGTTTACTTTTCTTATTTTGTTTTTAAATTATTTGAACAAACGCTTTAATTTATTTATACTTTTTACCATAAAATATGTCACTATATTTTTTAGTAACTATTATGAATTTACTAATTATTTTTTTATTTATTTTTACAGATCCAGTTACCAAAGCCAGATATCAAGTTTAAATTTTAAGCTTCAACTTAATATTTTATTTATTATTTGTAAATAGTTTTAATAATTTATTGCAATAAAAAATATTTAAATACAAACAAATATTTTGTTTTAATTAACCATGAATGAAACAGAATAAATAAAAAAAAAACCTGAAGCAGATAACCTTCCTCCACAACCGTGCAACTGTTGCCCTTGTAGCAGTACTTCCTCTGACAGTTCTGACCCAGTGGTCCAGGTTTTTTTTTTTTTTTTTTTTTTTTTTTTTTTTTTTTTTTTTTTTTCGACAGATGCAGGCGTGTATGTATGGATTAGAATTTTTATTACATTCTCGCAAAATAGCATAATGTCTTTTTTGACTTCTTTAATATAAATATACAATTAGTTAAACATAATTTTAATTTAATTCAATTTTAATATTTAATTAAATTCAAATTTAATATATATGGTTATTGGCGCGCATCACACAACATTCACTAACTATTCATCTTTGAGCAGAATAATATTACTTTAGCTATAAACATAAACCAACGACAGTTATTGTAACCAACGAAAATCTTGAGTATTATTTCTGTCCGATGTGTCAAGATGAAAATAAATTTAAAAGTTTTGGTTAAACTCCATTTCTATTAAATGAAAACAATCAAATACAATAATGGAAATGTAAAAATTATTAATTGCAACAGTTTTTCATTCTTTCTGTAACCTTTCATAATTGTGTAATAGCCAGTTGTTAACTTTTTATGAAATCGTTACTATATTAAAGACCTATAATCATATATCGAGTTAGGATATTAAAGATCTATAATCAGAAATCTTTAATATACTAACGATTTCATGAAAATTTAAGCATTATAATGCTTCCTTGCCTTTCCGAAAATTTGTCCTGAAAAAATATTTATTCTTTCTTAATTGATTATCAAATTCTTTTATAGTGAAATTGATCATAAATCATTTTTCTTTCTTAGCCCAATTGTATTTGGTTTTGAGAACAGGGGTATTATAACAAACGATAATCTTGTATAATATTTATTTTCGATGTGTCATGCTGAAAATAAATTTAAAAGTTTTGGTTAAACGGAAACATTCAAATTCAATAGTGGAAATGTAAAAATTATTAACTACAACAGTTTTTCATTCTTTCTGTAACCTTCCATAATTGTGGAATAGCCAGTTATTAACTTTTTATGAAATCGTTTGTATATTAAAGATCTATAATCAAAGATCTTTAATATACTAACGATTTCATGAAAAGTAAAGCATTTATTCTTTCTTAATTAATTATCAAATTCTTTTATAGTTAAATTGATACTAACATTTCTTTTTCTTTCTTTGCCCTATGTTATTGAGAACAGGGGTAGAACGAGGAATAGGAAATTGGCCTCTTTTGTTACAAAGGGTGAATTTTAAGAGAGAGCATTTTTTACCTTTTTTTTTCGATAATTTTATTTTTAACTACAAACATTAAAAAATTATGGTGGATAACAAAAAAAAAAAAAAAAAGTAAAAATGCTCTCGCTTCGGCGGGCGGTACATATATTAAAATTGGAACGACACAGAAGATTATAATAGCCTCTGCCCATTTTTTACTAACAAGACTGTTAATTAATTAAGGAACTTCAGAAAAAAATCATAAAATTCGGCATTTAATTAAATTAGTCTGGTTTTTACAATGATGAGAAGGCCTAACCGATATTATAAATCATTAAATTGCACATTATAACGATATATTGATATAACGTGTTAAATCAAAATCGTAGAAGCCATTTTCTAGAAAGTTAGAAAAAAGGGTATAATGTTTGGAATAAAGTGGCAATTTTCGATAGTTGGTTTCAATAAAAACGTTACTCTGACATCTACCAACGTTAAATACCGTTCTATATATTTTTGCCTCACTGGTAACAATTAGCTTGCTTTTTTAGTAGAATATTCGCTTTTCCTATTTATAACATTTCTCTTAAGATATAAAACACCAAAAGCTGTTTTGACTGATCAAATACTTTCTCAAAAGTCTGTAGGAGAGTCATGTTTGATCCACCCCTCTCTTTTAAGGATCATATATCTCAAAGTTCCTGTTACTCAACAGCCATTCTCCCTTTCCGGTCAACTAATGTCCATCAAAACCCGCCGTAACCTTGCATCTTTAGATATTTTACATTATTTTAACAATAATTCAGTTAAAAATAAAATTTTAGATGAATTTGTTGATGGACTGATAAAATTATTGCTTTTTTTTTTTCAATTTATCGTCGTAAAAGCCAGAAATGTTCTACATTATTAAACGAAGTTTATGTAGATAATCATTGCTTTAATGATACTTTATTATTATCAGACATCTTCATCTTCTATTCACTGTTTTCCCATCTCCTTTAACCGAAATTTGTAATTTACTTTCTCAATAAACCATATTTTAGGTGAATACTACATCAGTTTTATCAAAACTTTTTTTTTTATTATTATTTTTTTTTCTTACCCCCATATGATGTGATGTTGAGAACAGAGTGGTAGTACGAGGCTTGAACATGAACTCTTGTACTGCACAGAGTGCATTTTAAGAGTAGGGTGGGGAATTGGGAGTACTCTGGTTATTCATAGTTATGGTTTGGTCTAGTGACGGGGCTCACTAATGTCCTGTAAATGTCAATTTTTCAGTCTAGTAATAGATTTTTAATATATGTCTGCCATCTCATAGGTTTGTGAGTAAGTGGAGTAAGTGTTTTAAAAAGTGGGTTTGTCGAGTATTTGACGCTATCAAAAAATTTGATATGACTGCGTGTAATAAAGTCGCCCACCTTCGGTAATTCGAGGATGGTATGTAGTAGGTCCGTACGTGTTTTTTGTAAAGTCGTGTGTCTCACTATTTTTCTTAGCACACCGTTCTGAAACTGTTGGAGCTTTTTCGATATTGCCGGTGATATGTTAATTAGGAGTGGTGCTCCATAAAGAAGTGCCGGTACGTTGAAGGACTATTGAGTACTTCTGAATACGTAAGCATCACTAAGAAACGAGAAGGAAAAATTTACTGAAGACATTCAATCAATTTCCTTTACAAAGAAAATCTTATAAAATATATTTAACTAGTCTACAACTAATGATCCTCAGGCGATTCTTTATTTATTTCTTTTACACCAGTGTTTTCTTTATCATTATCTTGTTATTATTATTTATTATATTTTCACAGAATTTTTATAATTCTTCAGTTTCCCCTCAAATCGAAATTTTAGTATTTCAGCTAGTTCTCATATCAGCCGCTAGAGTGCACTACTGCACCGCACGGCTCAGCCGGGATGTTATAGTTAGTAAATTCATAGTGAAGGATTGATATTATTTTGATTCGAGTGGGTTTATCAAAAAACGATGCAAATAGAGATTTTTTTTTTAATTTTCAAAATGTAATAATGGGTATAAAATGTATTCTTGTATTGGTTGACCAAATAAATTTTGTCGATTAAATACTTATTTAGCTTTAAATACGGAACTAGATTATGTGGAATGAGACAAGACATAAAAAATGAGTTTCCAATAGTTAATTATATGACGGTCAACTTTAATTTCAGTATTTACTATATAGGTGGTTAAATAAAAAGAATCTATGAATTAAAGAAAAAAAGGGACTTTTACATATTATTTCTGTAAATATAGCCATTTGCAAAAATGTAAAAACATCAGAGTAGAGTAGTCCTGAATATAAGAGCTAACACCCAATGCAATGGCCTAACTTAAAAAACCACCAACCACCATGCGAGACCACCAACAGTGTCACCATGATTTTGGCGATACTTAGTACTCTAGTAGTATAGAGAAACTGTTCGATCGCGAAGCAATGGAAAGACTATGACAGCTAATAAAACTTTAAAGAAAAAATAGTGAAGCATTAGGATCTCCCAGTACACCAGATGTGCCCACACAAGGATAGTATGGCATCAATTGTGAAATAAACATTTTTAGGGGGCCGTATTTTTATGGCATTGTAAATTTTCGGACAAAACAATATATTTGTGAAGTTTCAATTGAAGAGAACTTAGTAAGGAACAATGGAAAACCAATCTACAATTTTTATAATTTAACTTTCATAGACACCATTTTTAAGGAGAGGAGAGAAATAAGTTTCTTGGAAGGGAAGATGTGCCAACGCCCTTAGAGGAAATGAACACTTAAGTTTTAAGGACAGCAGTTCTTTGAAGTAACACACTCATACGAGATAATCAAGAGGTGGTGAAAGAAGGAAAAAAATCATATCGTTGGCATCATGTTAAAAGTAACGAATGTGCAACGTTGAAAAGGTTAACATTCGTTACTTTAACATGGTGCCGACGATATGTTACCTTCTTGTCATATTCTGTGTTAATATAAAAAGACATTTTATCTTTCTAAAGAGCATAGTGTGGTGACAGAAACTACTGCTGGATTCAAGTTACATTCTATGTTGCCCAAAACCATGGAATGCTGAGAAGCTACAGAGTTATAAGTAAAAGAGGTTGTGACACATATGGTCTTGGTAACTATAAACAGAAATATGTGGCGTCCCATCCAGAATAAGGTACAATGAATCAAGGTTAAGAATATTTCAATGGTACCTGATATGTTCTTAACAGTCTACTTATGGTTGGGCCAAAAACGCCATTAAAAAGCTTAAGATGGTCCAAATGGGTATTCTTCCTGATTATGAGAAGGAATATAGACCTGAAGGGGAATATAGATCATTGGGTGTGGGGCATTGGAGAAAAGCGGCAGAGGACAGGTCTGAGTTGAGGAGGCAAATTTCCTTCATGGGCCATAGCACCGAAAGAAGAAGAAGTAAAATCACAATTCAATAATGTTTTTTTTTTTCATATTCTACATTTGTTCTTCGTAAGTGATTATAAGATTTAACAAAAAGTTTATTTTACTCAAAGGAAATTTCAATATAAATGACGTGTAAAAAGAAATCATATTCCTTTTTTTTTATCTGCCTCGCCTGCAAATAAGAGGTCTCACTTATCGATCGTGAATATGTATGAATATGTAGGCAGTTACGAGTTATCACTTCCTTGCGACCTAGCAACATCATTTGCTAAAAAACGTTCAATTTCCATTTTACCAATCCGAT